AAAACTATTAGAAACGTCAAAACACTAAAATATAGACACATATAAAAACATTTAAATAAATTTAAAAAATATTATCTATACTATATATATATATATATATATATATGTGTGTAAAACCATCAAAAATAAAAAATTAGCATAGTAAAGTATGTTCAGCAGATGTTCTTATTTCAAATTCTTGTTGACAGGTGGCACTCGTGCGTTGCTTTCCGCTCCAACGCCGATTTTGAATTCATTCTTGTTTACATTATGATTTAGAATACATTTTTGATCATGGCTCTGAAGAAAATTCCCAGTGCAAGTGCTAATGCTAAACGAAGGCTATACCACTAGAATATAATGGGGAAATTAATTATTTCATTCAGAATAATGTGCGTAGATATCATAAATACGGTAATAAGCAATAGGGAGTGCATATATTCAGTTTATAGTGTGGTTATTTCAAACGTAAGTCGTTTACGACATAAGTCGTGACGTCCGGAAGCAATTAATGACGTATTGTGAAGCATACCTGTACTAACTTGATATTTGTACCTTAAGACTGATATTATTTAAATTATTCGGACTATTATCCTCATCTTTGTCACCATATTTATTACAACGATTCGGTCGTTGTATGCTACGGCCTTCTTGGAATGTCGAACTGAACCCTTTATTTCGCTCACCGGGGTAGACTGTTCTAGTTCCACGTGACATGTTTTTAATGGATGTCAGTTATCAGTTATCTCCTCTGAAAGTTCTCCACTGCCTTAACCGGGTATTGTACTCACATGCCTTTATCCACTGTGCCATGTGTGTTTGAGGACATCTGGGTATGAATTTCTGGGTATTATAAACCTAATGTATTCAGCAACCATTTTTACCAGTGCTCATATTGCAATTTTGCTGTTATCATTGGATGTTTTTTACCAGAGCTCATATAGCAACTTTGTTGTTATCATTGCTTTTCTCTGGCACACCTTATTACTGGTTCCCATATTGTATTTATTTCTATGCTTACATAATACCTCATATGACTGATATATACGAACTTCATTACTTTTCAAATTGTCTTCTATATATCGCTTATACTGTAATGTGTGCGTTTTTACTACTATGTGTTGGAAATGAAATCAATAACAAAACACATTTTATTAATTTTGTTGTATGTAACGACACTTTTAGAGAGACATATTTTTTTTAATTTAGTGGTCGTATGAAACATTAAAACAAAACAACAGTTCTGCTGAAAAGAACAGAGATATCCGTTTCGTTACGCTAGTATGAAAAATGTTTTATTTACATGTTTCATGTTAAATGGCTGTTAATAATCTCATAGTACTTAAACCAACTATTAGCGAGATCAAGTATTCATGCCTGCAAATAACTGTTGCTTATATTGTAACTAAATTTTCTCTTTCTTACTTCTATAAACACCTTTGTTTTTAATGTTAATCGTCATATTGGATTTGGTGTCGTTTGTACCCGAACCTGAGGAATTTCCGAATAATACACTTTTGAAGTTGCTTTTTTTTTCGTTTATTTTTTTTTCGTTTTTTTTTTTTGTTTTTTTTTTGTTTCAAGTATTATCTTCCCGTAAACCTTCGGAATCACAATTAAATTTTCCATGATGTATATCATATTGTTCTGTATACTATACATTGGCCTCTCTTTATGGATTCATGTTTTTAATATTTTAGATTAAAAAGACCTACTTTGATTACGGATTTGATATTATCTCTCTCCCTTTATATATATATATATATATATATATATATATATATGAAAAAATATAGTGCTATATTTATATATTTATGGGATAAAGTGCTCAATATCAGAGATAGAGCGTGTGTAAATATAAAAGTGAACAGAAGTCAACACTTAGAGGCGACAGTCTGCTTCATGCTAGATGCTAGATGGCGTGACGCTTGCATATAGCATGAAACAGACTGCCACATTTAAGTGTTGACTTCTATGTTCACCTATATATATATATATATATATATATATATATATATATATATATATATATATATATATATATACTAAGGAGCCAGGCAAACCTATTTAGGTTTTCACCTAAACGGATCTTCAGGTTAAACTGGCCAATGTACCCTGAAGATCCGTTTAGGAGAAAATAGTTAGGTTTGTCTGGCTCCTTAGGATTTATTCTAGTTTATCGGTCTACGTAGCGTATTGAGCACTCTACTTTTTAGTCTTTCTACTCGTTTGTTTGTTTAATCCCTTTGGACTAAGGACTTTAAACACTTGGTTATTTGTTTCGTCTTGTTCTGATGTTATTACTTCTTTCTTTTTTTATTTCCATTTTTTCCTCGGATACCGATTTGTCCTGATATATCTGCAAGTTGAACACACTGAGGTTTTCCAAACCAGTACTACTACTACTACTACTATATATATATATATATATATATATATATATATATATATATATATATATATATGAAGAAATAATATCTTAAGGTTTGCTATATTTATGTGATAAAGTGCTCAAAATCAGAGAGCGTGTGTAAATATAAAAGTGAATATTGAAGTCTACACATAGAGGCGACAGACTGTTTCATGCTAGACGCAAATTTTATCAAAATATGTAGCAATGCGCAAAATGCATGGAAACTTGTTTCATGCCATTGAGTGAAAGTGTACATGAGCAGTTTAAACGGGTATTACAATTATGTTTACACATTCTGTACGATTCCAGGTTTTATTGCACAAGTTGATGTTTTCAAAATCAAATTAATATTAACTAACCGATTTTGGTAAAAAACCTCACGCTATGCTTGATTTCGTATAGTAGCATATCAACCAAACCCTGTGTGCTTTTTTAATGCCGAAATCTCAATATTCGCACGCAAAGTTATGCTTTCAACTTCAGATAATTTGCACATATTTTTATACAGTCAGGGTAAATATATGTTATGAGTTATATTTTGTAGATCAAAAAATGTATCGTGGTAATTTTTATATATATATATATATATATATATATATATATATATATATATATATATATATATATATATATTAGTGTTGAATTGATTGTCCTTTTTCCATAAAAATATACACTTGGTTATTTTATTATAAAGATGTAGCGTTGATTTTTGTTTGGGAGTTTAATATTTGCCCATAGCTGAAACCCCAAAAGGTCGTATTATCCTGAGTCAGGGTGGGCCAAAGAACCACAGCAGTTAAGATGCTGTTCTCTGCTACTCAAAACCTCCAACCTTGCGATCTTACTGCCTGATGTAGTTTATCGTCATATCTAGGACGATCTTTATATGAAAAACAGAGTGTGAGTTTTTAATATCTACCCATAATAAAAATATTGATAATAATTTGCTTGGTCCGCCTCCTGTGTTATTAACTAGACAAAGTACATCATGAACGTATATGTATAACTATATCTAAAAAAAATACAAGCCACTGAAACGCACATTCGATATGCACAATATTCAATCATATATTATTATTGTCTCCTTTCCTTTTCTATAATCTTCCTCTATCTTTCCATCATTTATTTTCACTATTCTACTCTTTTGATTTTAACATTAATAGCAAAATACTTTCGTTGCTTCCTAAACAGTTTTGCCTATTATTTTTTTCCTCAAACTCAACTCTATGTCTTTCAAGGATAAACATGACTTTTGTTGGATAACACTTGAGAGAAGGTCATTCTGTGGACTCTTCCACAACAACCTAGTTAACCCCTGCTAGGAAATGCACAATTCCTCTTATAATTTTCACCATCACAATCTTACAAGTAGTCATGGTCAATCACCTTCAATCTAGCTTGTTGATTGGTCAGTTCCGACCAATCAAACCACCTGCACGCGCCCAATCTGGGATCCTATCACGTGGTACACGACCATTATATAAACCCAACACGTGTAAACTCCCTCGAGTTTACTTTTCATTCATCTCACTCGCGCACGTCTTATTCGCTGCTACCAAGTGCCAAGATGTAATCTTCAAGAACTCCCGTCTTAACCATTGCGGTCAGACGTTAAAGACCATTACCAACATTCACGCAAGTACGAACTCTGAAATCTCTACTGAACTTTTACCAACTTTACAACTCACAATTCCAAACTTTATTCTTCTAAATTACAGTTTAATATTACTTCCTTTTAATATGAATTCAGGTACAACTAATACCTAATCAAAGGGACACGACTCTGTCCTACCTTTTTAGTTCGCATGCATGTATATCAAACATTAATAAATTCAACTGTTATGTTTTGAAATCATTCCATTCAGTTTTGTATTTTATTCTATGTGCTATTTACGTCAAATATAAATTGCATTGAGTCCACGCATTGTCCCTAATGCCACCTTTCTTAGCCAAAGTTAATTATTGATCACTACAATAATGGCAACCCCGACTTTCACAACAACAATGGTAACACCGTCGCTACAAGATTGGTGATCCCGTCGGAAATAAACAATAATGGTAGCCCCTATCGCTACAATTCCATTTATTTCGTTTCTTTGAAACTGTGCGATAATTCTTTTCAGGAATAGTGTTCCAATCACTGCAATCATCTTCCTCACTTCTCAATGATACCCTCTGTCAGTTAACCGGGGTCTATCTCAGCGAGAATCACGGACGGCGTAACGGTTATCGCTTCAAAAAAATTCTCAGCGAGAATAACGTATACACCACTTCTTCCAGATATCCCCGGTCATGCCAGATTTTTCCACTTATCTTTGGTTCTGGCTTTGCTGTATTCTTCAAGGCTGCTATATTCTCCGATTGAAATTTAACATATATGCATGGTAGATTGTAAATGCAGTTTTCAAACATTTCATTATATGAGGAGTTTAAAGTGAGTCCGTTCTATTGTTAATGAGTAAAAACAATGATATCATCGATATAATTACTGTCTTATGTGAAGGAGATAGTGAAAAATCTTGACAAAAGAAATGTCGAGGAGGAGTCAGCCCTCTACATCGTCTCTCTACCAGGTAAGATCGTGATTTGCTCAATTTGTATTAAAATGATGGTTGGTCTTGTTTTCGTTCTTTTCTTTATTTTATTCTTGATATTTTTCTATCGTTTAGAGCTTGCAAGGCATCAAATATTCTTCTTGTTCTTGTTCTTTCTTCTTCTTCTACACCCTCCTCCTCCTTCGTCTTCTTCTTCTTCTTCTTCCACACCCTCCGCCTCCTTCCTCTTCTTCTTCTTCTTCCACACCCTCCTCCTCCTTCCTCTTCTTCTTCTTCTACACCCTCATCCTCCTTCCTCTTCTTCCACACCCTCCTCCTCCTTCCTCTTCTTCTTCTTCTTCCACACCCTCCTCCTCCTTCCTTTTCTTCTTCTTCTTCTTCCACACCCTCCTCCTCCTTCCTCTTCTTCTTCTTCCACACCCTCCTCTTCCTCCTCCTCCTCCTCCTTCTTCTTCTTCTTCTTCTTCTTCTTCTTCTTCTTCTTCTTCTTCTTGCGCCTGCCACCTAGCCATCAGATCTTGAAGCAAGCGTTACGACAACGCCGACCGAGTTTGCTGCCCCAGATTTTCTCCGTTGCTTCTGATACCCCGTAATACCGAGTTATATATATATATATATATATATATATATATATATATAAATAAAATTGACAATATAGATAGTAGTAATATATAACCCCACAAATCAGGACCTACCTACATGCTTACGGATGGGTTGAGGCCTCACACTTATACACACACTCACACGAATATACACACTTACACACATTATACTCACTCACTCTCTAATGAGCCAAATGATAATACACACCCATAGTAATATACACGCTTACACACATCATAATCACTCACTCCCTAATAATCAAATAACACACACACACTTAACAGAGACACATGCCCTTTCCAGGAACTAATAAAACTGTCAAAATAACCCAAGGAATTCAGAGCAGCATGAATCAATCCAGCTTTTATCTTAAATAACAACTTAAAAGAGACTGTGTGACCAACCCGAGGACTGACCAAAATTCATGTTAAAAAAACAAATGAAAACTACAGACAAAAGTTCATTTTCTTCATCAAGTCATTCATTTCTGTAGTTCACTGCTACCAGCAACCAGAATTTTTTTTCTCCTGATGATGGCAATGTTGGTCGAAACTAGCCGAGGGATTTCAATGAAATAATAATAAAAACGAAAGAATATTAATATACAACCCAGTGTGTCTGAAGATTTTAATTTTTTAATATATTTCATTGTTCAATATATATATATATATATATATATATATATATATATATATATATATATTAAAACAAGTGACAAGAGGAAAAAACTATTCTTAGTTTACTCGTTTCGTCCTCATAGGGAATTTATCAAAGCAATGTAGGAATTATTTTGTTGCATATGTTTATATACAAAAGCGAGGATGTCGTTGGTTTATGAAGACTTTTGAATTTGACAACGTTCATGAATGTTATATATATATATATATATATATATATATATGTGTGTGTGTGTGTGTGTGTGTGTGTGAAAAGTGTATATAAATATAAATAAATATATATATGTATAATTATTTATATATTATATGCGCGATCGCTAAAGCGTGAAACCCATGGTCACAAAATCACATCTATCCAACCAAATATATATATATATATATATATGGAAATATTTTAAATATACATAATAAAATGCATATAGGCATTCATATATTATCACAAAAATCCAGTGTAGATATATATTTAAGTTCAGTATACATTTATATGCATTTCTGTTTCTTTCTGAGAGTGTTTTGAATTTCACATAATTTTGTCTCTGATGAGATTAAAATAAATACTAATTTGTAGCGAATCAATCTTATTTTGAAATTCTTAATCGAAGTGATATCAATGAAATAGTTCAATCGCAAATCGAAAAGAGCCCGAGGATCTTTAGAACCTACACTCACATTTCTATATTTATATAAAACGCAAATGCAAATAGCTTATTTAATTGTGTATTTGTCCGAAGGAACAAATTCCGAAATATTCTTTAATCGAATTAAAATGGAAAGAATCTAATTTCATATTCGAAGAACATAGACGTAAGAACGATATCTTTTCTATCAAATGGAAGGTAGATCAAATTAGCAGTAAAGATATATGACGATTTCCTGCGCGTAACCAAGTATGTTAATATACATATATATATATATATATATATATATATATATATATATATATATATGTGTGTGTGTGTGTGTGTGTGTGTGTGTGTGTATTTATATATATATGCGCGTATGTGTGTGTATATTTATATACATATATGCGTATATAAAGAGTATATATATATATATATATATATATATATATATATATATATATATAGCACCACACATAATTAAATCTATATATATAGTATTGTAATATAGTTGTAATATAGTATCTCTCCATTTCCTCCCATGTTTAACATTTTTGACGCATTCACACTCTCACAATCTTTTTATCTCTTTCTCTCTCACTCTCTCTTACTGCCTTTGTCTCTCTTTCTCTCTCTCTCTCTCTATCTATCTCTCTCTCTCTCTCTCTATAAATATATATAATGGACTAGTGATTTACAAAGGAAGCCGCATATGGAGCAAGAGTATAGGATTGTGGGATGAGATCCCTGTTAGATAGGCTGACCTCTTAGATCTTGCTCTCGTTTCTTGAAGACGATTCAGAAATAGCTGAACACACACACATATATATATATATATATATATATATATATATATATAAGAAATATATATATATATATCATATGGTTCAACTCACCGTACAGCCAGAACGTAAAAACAAACGTAGGAAATATATTCTTCAAACTCTTACACAAATACTTCCCAGAATCAAGCACCTTACACAAGATATTCAAGAAAAACACAGTAAAAATCAGCTACAGCTGCACCGAGAGCATGGCACAAATAATAAAAGAGCACAATAGGAAAATTATCAACAAACCACACGAACAAATTAAACCCACGTGCAACTGCAGAATAAAGAACGAATGTCCCTTAAACGGAAATTGTTTACAAAACAATGTAACATACCAAGCCACGATAAAATCACCAGCTAATGATGAAAAAGTATACATAGAAGTAACTGAAGGACCCTGGAAGCAAAGAAATTACACACACAAAACATCTTTCACAAATAGTAAATATGCGAACAGTACAATGCTTTCTAAGCATATCTGGGAAATTAAAAACAAAACGCACATCACACCAAAAATATCTTGGAAGATAAGTAAAAAGTCATTAGCCTACAACAACCAATCAAAAACTTGCAAACTTTGCTTGGAGGAAAAAATAGCTATCATTACGTTTACCGACCAAAATAAATTATTAAATAAAAGATCCGAGCTCATCTCAAAATGCAGGCATGAAAATAAATTTTTACTACGTAACCTAAAAAATGAAAAACGGAAAAAATAAAATAAAAACAAATAAATACACTAATAAAAAACAAAAAATAAATAAATACTATGTTGCTTAAAACCGAAAAGAGAAAATATACAAGTAAAATAAATTGACCTAAATTCATCCAAGTAAATAAATAGACAAACCAATCCCAATTTAAAAACTCTTCCTGCCAAAATAATAGTTAGAATGAACTACAACAACCAACCCCAAAATTGAACAAATAGCTTTAATTAAATTCTCAAACCAAAACAAGACTGTTAAATAAGTGATATAAACAAATTTTTACTACGTTAATAAATAAATAAATAAAATAAGAAACAAAAATAAAAACGAGCAATATAACTTGACCCAAATAAATAAACAAACTACTTCCGGTAAAATAACCGCCATAATAGAATACCCACAATGCACCACTAACCCGTATATATATAAATAGCCGAGAAAAATAACAGCATATGTGGCCTGACGATTGCATATAGCATGAAACAGACTGTCGCCTCTAAGTGTTGACTTCTATGTTCACTTTTATATTTACACACGCTCTATCTCTGATATTGAGTACTTTATTCCATAAATATAGCACACCTTAAGACTATATTTCTTTATATACATTAAATGACAACACTTTAATCACGAACTCAACGATCATGGACACGTAGATGAATTTGCAATGCAGACTCAGTCCTTCATAGATTTTTTTTTGTTTTGCGTTTTATTTGACATATATTGCATGCAGAAAGCTTTAGCAGAGTCTTAAATTAATTTACTCCTCATGTACCTTCACGTGCAACATCAGACCGGCGGCAAGCCTGCAAATAGTATCACTTAACTGACATAAGTATCCTGCTGGTCGGTCTGGACGGACACCCACAAAGCCGGCATAAGACTGCTGATTTACATACGATCTTCGGTAACTAGCAAATCCAGCCTTTCTGCAGATATTACATTGAAGATCAAACTGTATATTTTCTGGTATCAAATTTACATCACCTTTCCTAAGAGCGCTTTCCAACTTCAAACAAACACACGCAAACACACGTACACACACCACACACACACACATACAAGTATATATATATATATATATATGTGTGTGTGTGTGTGTGTGTGTGTGTGTGTCCGTCTATATTTCTGAGATGAGGTATTATGTATACTATTTACATTATTCGGACTATTGTCCTCATCTTTGTTTCCATATCTATCATAATGTTTCGGCCGTTGTACGCTCCGGCCATTTTCGAACCACCTGAAGAAGGCCGGAACGTACAACGGCCGAAACGTTGTGATAAATATGACAACAAAGTTTTGAATCACGTTCCTTTGTTTCCTACTTAAGACTGGATTTTCTGTTCCCTCTGAACTCTTATTCTATTGCCCTTCCGAATAGCGTCTCGCATCTTAGCGACATTATCGCCTTGTTTAAAAAAAATACTAAGACCTACAAATGAGAGGATATTGTGGAAAGCTCTGATCGTCCACGTCCTGAAAGAACAAGGCTTCATAGAGGAGGAGGAGGAGGAGGAGGATCAAAATGACCTTGACTGAAGCTATAGCTGTACTATAGAAATGATATTACGTCACTTTCCAACCATCGGAAGGTTACCTCTCTGTGTCTTATCTATAAATACATTCATGGTATTTGTTTGTATGAGCTCTTCGCTATGGCATTACTAGTTTATTCCCTTTCCCCCACCACATATGGGGACTAGTTAGGACTTCCATAGAGACATTGTGGTATTATGGTGGATGTAGTAAGAAAGGTAATTAAGACTGCCTTGTTTTGGTATTAAGAATATTTGGGTCAGTGTTTGTGGCTAGCTGAGTTTAATGTTAAGACAGAAGAACACCGTCCTTGTCCTCATTCCACTTTTTGGCCCAGTGCCACATTTTCTGTACATAGCAGAAATAAATATCATTCCTCGCTATGGTACGTAGACTTTTTGATTTTAAGCACAGTACTCGGCTGGAGCCTCGATTTCATCAATTTGAACTTGATGGGTCGATGTAGCCGTAAATTCTATGCTAACAGGTTCTTCTCTCACACTTCTCGCTTCATACATTCCCACCAGCTTTAATCATCAAAAATATTAATGCAATGTCAATCGCTATATACTATCCTTTTGATTACTCTTTTCTCTTCCCACTCATCAGTATTGTTTCTGTTTTGAATTCTTTCACATCCTGTAATAACTTTTGTCTTAGTGGCTTTAACGCCTTCCATAGAGTGGCAACGATTAAAAAATTATTTCTTATTACCTTTAGTATACAATACATACACTCAAGTGAGGTTTCCATCCTCACCCAGTGTCCCATACTTTCGGCCTTGTGCCACATCTAAGCTACGCTTATAATATCACCCTATTTCGATGTGATGTAGAGAGCGCAGGCAGCCAATTAAAAGACAGCTCCATGGAAGCGTTGTAAATGTGCACGGAAAATTAGATTTCTTTCGGTAATTTACAAGGTAGAATATTACGTTAGAAAACAAAACGTTGTCTTCACGAACATGTATCTGAACGGCAATCCAAAGTTCATATGGTTCCTGCTTTTATTTATGAAAATCTATAAAAAGTTCTTTTTTTTTTTATCACAATCATTCGTAGTGCCTGAAGAACACAAGACTATGACGGAAGTAGCATAGTTCGGATGGAGCTCCAAGTGCAGTATTTTAGATCCGTCTGAGAGTCCCTTTATGCGTGTATTAATATAGAAAGCAGCGCTCCGGGAAGCGGACAGAAATATTGTACGCGTCCTTATACAGAAATTTCATTATTCCCTTTCTTCCTTTGGCGATAGGCATGTTTCCACAGAAATAGATTATCGTAATACGTACATGGGTAAAACACACATCAATACAGATTTATACCTTGTGTATAATTAGATTTGCACGTATAAATACACAAGTAAAAGACGGCTACCGTAGAGTAATGATGAGCTGATTACTAAGGGGATTAATAGTTATTCGAGTTTAATCCACACTCACCGTTGAGTAATAGTTTATAAACCAGTCACTACTGATGTGGTTTCGATTTTAGCTTGAGGCGTCGAACACTCCTGCCTTTGTTTTCATCACTTCACCCAAAGCAAAGTAACACAGTACCTAAGACACATGCGGTTACTGAGTACATAAGAAAAAACAGAAACATTATTAACGAACGAGAATAAGAAAAAAAGAATAATAATCAAGAAAACTGTAGATAACGATTGACATTGCATTAAAATTTTTGAAGATCAAAGTTGGATAGAAAGCATTGAGCTGAAAGTGAGTCCCACAAGCGGGAAGTGCTAGTGAAGAAAATATTAGCATAGAACTTACGGTTGCATCTAACCAATTTACTTCTAAATTGGGGAGATATTTTGCCAATCTAGTACTGCGCGTAAATTCATAAAGTTTAGGCACCATAGCGAAGAGATCATTCAAACAATTACCATGAAATTATTTATAGAGTAGGCAAACAGAGGCATCCTTATGGCGGTGGGAAAGTCGTTGAAGCCGGAATGCCAGGTCAGGGCCGTTAACATTGCGGATTCATAATTGGATTTTTTAAAGAATCTTTAAATATATAGTAGGGCCATATGTGGAAACAATATTCAAAGCATGGTCGAATAATAAACTTATAAATATTTCAGATAGATTTTGGATAAAAGATTGTCGAGCACGAAATAGTGAACGAACTTTTTTCCGTTTCATATTAGCAGAGAATGTTAACCTGAGAAGAATCAATGAGATACTCTTTTGGAGGCTAACATCCGCCATGCCGACTAAGAACAGTTCAGAAAGAAATTTAGAATTTAAAACCATAAATGCTACTGAAATTAGTACTTCTACCCCCCACGCGGTTGAGAGATTCAGGGTAGTAAGCACAGGCCCTGTCGATTATTAAGAAACGTAAAAATGGTAAAAGCAAAAACAACGAAGCAGAAACGAACTCTTTTGGGGTTCCTATCTCGTCAGGGGTTCCTATCTCGTCAGGGGTTCCTATCTCGACAGGGGTTCCTACCTCGTCAGGGGTTCCTACCTTGAAAGGGGTTCCTATCTCGTCAGGGGTTCCTACCTCGACAGGGGTTCCTATCTCGTCAGGGGTTCCTACTTCGACAGGGGTTCCTATCTCGTCAGGGGTTCCTACCTCGACAGGGGTTCCTACCTCGTCAGGGGTTCCTATCTCGTCAGGGGTTCCTACCTCGACAGGGGTTCCTACTGCGCACCGTCCAGGCCATGCAGATATGCAATGTATATTATTATTTGATGTTTTACTATCATTTTAAAAAAATGGTTGACGGCCATAAAACAGTACTGAAAAAATGGCAAGGGCACCAAAAAGCCCGAGGTCGGTCAGGGTAAGAGGTTACAGGGGTGTGTGTGTGTGTGTGTGTGTGTGTGTGTGTGTGTGTGTGTGTGTGTGTGTGTGTGTGTGTGTGTGTGTGTGTATACATTCATGTATACATACATACATAAAAAACACATGCCGACGTATATATGTGCTTTTATATTAATATATAAATTAGTTAATTTGGCTTGGTGGTATTTCAAATTTATTAATTGTTAGTTCTTAGATTTATGGATCTATTATTTGTTGTTTGAATATAAGTATATAATATACACACATACAAACACGCACTACACACATAAACGCATACACACACACACACACATATATATATATATATATATATATATATAAACACATACGCACGCACACATATATATTTAATCAATCTTCACGTAGTAAAATAAATACCTCCTTATATGTTATCATTTATCTGTTTTGTCATTTTTGATTAGTAACTATTATTTTGTTTTTGTTCTTTAACTTGGTGTTGTATTATATATTAAGGTATTAATTATGGAAGGTTAGGTTTGTTGTTGTTTGTATATATATATATATATATATATATGTGTGTGTGTGTGTGTAAATGTAAAATTGAACATAGAAGTCAACACTTAGAGGCGACAGGCTGTTTCATATATATATATATATATATATATATATATATATATATATGCACATACACATACATACAGGTATATACAGTTGCAGACAGAATTATTTGCTCCCACTCATGATTTTCATATTTTCAAAGGAAATGCCACTATTTACAATTACTTACTGAATTAACCATAAATAGTTGATTCCGTATTTAGTTTTGAATAATTCGTTAAATTTTTAGAAGTTTCGATCTACTTAATAGTTATAGATTTTTCTAAAAATTGGCGTAGTGCAAAATTATTCGCCTCCTCAAGGAAATTATGAAATAATACTGTTCCATGATAATTGTAATGTCTTTTTCTTAATTTGACATTTAATACAAACACCCTTTGAAAATGAAATAGCACTGACCCGATTCTATAACATTTTAAAAGGTAATGAAGAAGACCATATGGGAAGGCCACTTACCTCAATAACACATTTGTTCTGCAACGCTGGAGAAGCCAGCTGAACATGAAGAGAAGCTCCGAATGAAGATAGTTGATGTGTATAAACAAGGTGATGTATATACGTCACTTTCCAGGTGTTTAAATGTTCCTAGATTGGCAATTCATAGCATTATCAAGAAGTACAACGAAACTCTTTGTGTTGAGAATAAATTAAGGACTGACAGAAAATGGTTAATTTCTGAGAGAATGAAAAGAAACATTGCTAGAAATGTCCCGAAGAATCTTCACTTAACGACAAAAGACATTGTCAATGAGGTAAAGACATCAGTGTTGAATGTATCCGATGAAAACAGTTACTAGATGTCTTCATCGAGCAGTAAGTTTAGCTTGTACCCCAAGGGAAACTCCCTTGCAGAAGGCTAAACATTTAAAATACAGATTAACTTATGCTAAATGCCATCTAGAACATGGAAATAAATATTGGAATTTTGTTCTATGGTCAGATGAAACCAAAGTAGAATTATTTGGGTCACATGAACTCTCTTATGTGTATGGAGGAAAGTGAATGAAGCTCACAGACCCAAAAATACCCTCCCTACAATTAAGTTCAGTGGTGGGGGTATTCTGATCTGTGGATCTTTTGTTGCTTCTGAAACAGGAGAACTAGTGGGAGAGTATTATGGATTAAGAGCAGTATTTGGCTATTCTTAAAAAATAATATAAAACAAAGTGCATGAAAGCTGTATTTACAGAGCATAAATATTATAAATTGATTGATTTAAGATATGGTTTCTTCGCCACCATATTTTAAATCAGTCAATTATATATATATATATATATATATATATATATATATATATATATATATATATATATATACAATTGTTAAAATAATTGTCGGACTTAGTCCATTTCGTATTATATATATATATATATATATATATATATATATATATAGTAGTGAACAGAATTATTCATCCCCCAGTGAATATTTGCATATTTTCTAAGAAAATGCGAATAATTGCAAGTCCTTACTGAATTTACCATAAATAGTTGCTTCTGTATTCAGTTTTGAATAATTTGTGAGATATTTAGAAGTTTCGATCTGTTTATTATTATATATATATATATATATATATATATATATATATATATATATATATATATATTGTCTGTGTGTATTTGTGTACGTGAGTATATATGGAATCAATAAATATGCATAAATGTATATATATATATTAACACACTAGATTCTACATTTATTGTATATGGGTAATTTGGGTAACTAAACCTGTAATTTTTTTTATATAAATAATGAATTTAATATCTACCTATAAAGATATAATAATAAATTCAATATATTGAACGTCTTATAAAAAATTTTCATTTCTTAATCAAAGAAGCCACTTTCAAGCCAAGCGAGATTTACCATTAAGCTACGTAAGGTTTAATAATAATGCATATGTGGGCGAATGCGTATATGTGTATATGTTTGTGTGCGTGTATATTTCTGCGTGCGTGTGTATATATAAAATCCTCAGGACAAAAAGTAGTATTTTACATTATGATATCCAAACTGTTATATATCATTTAATATATCATTTAATATGAAATTATATAAGTTATGTAAAGTTATATATATAAGTTTTCTAATCTCCTATATGTCATCTAATGTTGTAAAATCTCATGAGAGATGAAAAAGGATCCTTGTAGCGACAAAGCTATGCATGGAAGTGTATATAATACACACTTCGCATTAATTTTTGTAAACAAACGCATGAATTATTAAATTATTCTTTATGACTTTCAAAAAAGTCAGTACCATCCCAAACTTTGTTCGAACAGATCAAAATTCTTTCTGTCTTGAAGTACTGTATAGAATAATGAAACATTCAAATAGTTGGCTTTAGTTTGCAAAAGATATTAGTTAATCCGAAGATATGTAAATTGCAAAAATCAGTAGATGAAGGTTCGTTCATGTCCCACAATCCAAATACGAAGAAAAACGACAGAGCAGCAACTCCAAAAGACCCAGATACCAACGTTAGAGACAGCAGGCCTTAATTGTACGTCTTCCTTCATCTCCTGGTGAACGTATTTACATAAACATACTTTATGTTTTTTATATATATATATATATATATATATATATATATATATATATATATATATATATATATATATATATATATATATATATATATTGCCACATGCCGTATAGGATTTTATTATCTCTCAACTGCATCACCGTCTTCGGACAGATTGCGACTCAGTTGCTCAGCCCTGGGGAACAAATGCCTGAAGCCCCACCCCTCATAACACTTGAGAGTGGGATCGGTGCTCGCACCGGGGCGAGGGCACGGGAAATTTTTGTCCTCGGCCCGAGTGTACGCGCTCAGGTTCCCCACATTAAATCAGACCTTCTGTCACATCCCGTCTCGGTGTGGAGCTCGGATAAAAATTCATTCTCTGTCTTTGACACACGTATATACTTAGAGAGCCATTTTCATTGGTATAAGCTCAACCATAAACAACGAACTTTAACTTAAACCTGAAACGAACTTTAAAGAACATTCTCATTGTTTTTTTTTCTAATTGATTTATTGTTTATATTGATATATAAACGATTGCCGTTGCTTTAGTTTTCAGAAAATGTTAATTAATCCGACGATATGTCAAATGCAAAAATCAGTAGATGAAGGTTCGGTCACATCCCAAAATCCAAATACGAAGAAAAACGACTGAGCATCAACTCCAAAAGCCCCAGATACCGACTTTAGAGACAGCAGTCCTTAATTGTCCGTCTTCTTTCGTCTCCTTGTGAATTAAACGGACATATTTTATGTTTCTTTTTATTCTGTCACATGCCGTTTAAGATTTTATCATCTCTCAGTTTCATCACTGTCTTCGGGCAGAGTACGACTCAGTTGCTCAGCCCTGGGAAACAGACTCCCGAAGCGGCACTCAAGAGTGGGATCGGTGCTCGCACCGAGGCCAGCGCAACCGACGTTTGCAGGGGCACGGTGAATATTTGCTTTTGGCCCGCATCTAGTAATTTTCCAAGCGTAGCTTGGATGTGGCACAAGGCTGAAAGTAAGAGGCACCCAGTGAGGATCGAACTCACTACTCAGGCATAATTGTTCTAGCGAGACAAGCTTGTTAATCATTACACCACCTTGAGGTGCCCAAATAGTGATTTTCCAAGCGTAGCTTAGATGTGGCACAAAGCCGAAAGTATGGGGCACCCAGTGAGGATCGAACTCACTATTCAGTCGTAATTGTTCTAGCGAGACAAGCTTGTTAACCATTACACCACCTGGGAGGTGGCCAAATAGTGATTTTCCAAGCGTAGCTCAGATGTGGAACAAGGCCGAAGTATGGGGCACCCAGTGAGGATCAAACTCACTACTCAGGTGTAATTGTTCTAGAGAGACAAGCTTGCTAACCATTACACTACCTCCAGGTGCCCCTTTTGGCCCGCATGTAGGCGCCCGGGTTCCCCACATTAAAACCAACTCTCTATCACATCCCGTATCAGTGGGGAGTAAGGGATAAATATTTATTCTCTGTCTTTGACACACGTCTATACTTAGAAAGACATTTTCATTGATATAAGGTCAACCATAAACTTACCAATTCTAAACAATATTCTCATAGTTTTTTTTTTCTAAGTAACCAATTGATTTATTGTATATAGTGATATATAAACGATTGCTGTTGCTATGTATCATATATTTGGTTTTGTTTTGACATTAATTCTTGGTATTTCAGGAAAGTACATATTAATTT